ATGAACAGTGATCGTGTGAGCTGACTTGTAGTTGCTTTTCAGCATTTAGTAATTCAGTGGTAACCTCTTTTAGGTAGTGTAAATAGCTGTGCATCGTGGAAATGTACAGAACAGTGTAGTGATGCTTTTTTTAATCCTACAATCCTTCTGAGGTACATTAAGGAAAAACTAGGTTTGTATTTTGCTAAGCAGTTAGTGAAATTTCTTGATCTTTTTGTCATTTCTTCACTTATATCACATCTCCAGTAGTCCAACCTAAGTCTTCATCATGATTTTTACTTCTAAAATTAAATTTTTGCAACAGGACTCTGCTATAATCTGTCTGCTTTAAAATGTTAAGGCAGTTGCTGGAAGTAACAAAGGAGTCCTTTTACATAAGTAGAGTTCTAGAGTGAGATTATTCATATTCAGAAAGTTGATCATTTTTGTTATTGGAAGGAGGAAAATGTTTTTGTCTTACCAGTTCTATTAAAATGTCTCTATTCTGCTTTAAGGAATATTGCTGCTGCTTTTAGAAGCAAAACATTGAGAATGGACAACACATCCACTTTGCATGACCACTTCCTCTATAGGGAGCATCCATTTGGGACTTCATTTGAATGTTGTATAGCAGAGGATTTTCTTTGGGCTTTTACAGCTGTGTGCAGTATTTAAATGTACTTCTTTTATAGTAAACAAGTAATGACTTGTGAAACAACTTGGGCACCATAGAACTGGTTTATTTGCAATTCTTCCTCTGATAAATATTGTGAATTAGAGTCTGTGCATTTTCAAAGCAAAAAAGTGATATTTTTCAAGGCATAGTAGTAAGTTTGTGACCATTGCTATACCTTCTTATTTGTTTATTTCCTTCATTTTGTCATTTTGACTTTACCTACTTCAGGTGATTTCTTGTTTTACCAATCATTTAGCCAGCTGTTGTTTTACTGTATACCACATTGTCTAGTATTCAGTGTCCCAAGCATAAAATCTAGTAGAAAGTGTACAGAAACAGCTTTAAACAGTGATGTGAAATAGCCACAAGAACTATTGAGGAGAAGGAGCTCAAGTGATAGTTTGAAGTATTGCTCACTTCTGCAAATGAGCAGAGTATTCCCATTGAAGGTGATGAATGTTTTCTTACTGGCACAAGTAACTCAGAAAAATAAGAAACTCAGTCACTCCTTACTTTAGGATAAGCTAAATTTAATACTGTTTGTAGGTCTGAGTTGTGGAACCTAGTTATGGAGCTGATGTGCACAGATAGTCTCTTGTGTGTGTTGAGATTGAGTAGGCCATCATTTAGAAGATCTAGGAAAGGCTAAACTGGATATTCAGAATACCTAAACACTATAGTAGACAGAGCACCAGGACAGCTAACCTGGAGAGTGTCCGAGGTCTTTCAGACTGTAGTATCATTAAGCACAAGTTGGAAAAACAAAGCTGAGGCAAGAGCCAGATGGAGCTGACCCTGTTTTAAAACAGCATGAGACTAAGCAAGCGGCTTTTCTGATATATGTTTAAGTCTGAAGATTATTTAACTTGTGGGCAACTATAGAGTTCTTTCTTCCAACAGCTTGTTGTGGACTCAAACACATAATCTACTTTAAGTGTGTTACTAGACTTGGAAACAAGTGTGTGTTCTGCAGGAGATTTCTGTCTTGGCGAATGGGAAGAGTCTAGAGATGTTTTCCATCAGTGTTCAGCTTAATCCTTGGCTTCAGGCAAAACAAGTTAGTCCTTACAATTGTTAAATAATGAAGTTCCTCTTTTTAGGTATTCTAAGTGTTGGCTGATTTGGTTTAAGTGCATCTAGCTTCTACTTGGTTTATCTTGAAAGTTTAGACATTGAGGAGGGGGAAAAAGCTGCCCAGAAGGAGAACTTTTGAATTGTACTGGCCACATATCTCTAATGTTATCTGAGTAAAATTTGTATGCAGTGGGTTGCTCTTTCTGCACCTGAAATCCGCAGTCAGATGGGAGTTCTCTCTGGCTTATACAGCCACAGTGGTACTAGCATAAGTTTGGACTAAAGTCCTGTATGTCAGTGAAACACTTAGGAAGAACTGAGCTTCTAAGTTCTTGTAACCCAGTTGGCACTTTCCCACCAAGTGATAAATACCACCACCTGTCAGACATACCTTGCAAGAATTGGAGTATCTGATAGGTCGTTTGAAATTCCTGCTTCTACTGCATTTTGTGAAATGCTTGTCTGGATTTGCTAAAACTCAACCATCTGAATCTGAACTGGCAAACCCCTTAAACAAGCATGTTCCCTTAACCCAAGCAAGAAGACTTAAGAGTGGTCTGTCAAGCATCTGATTCCAGAAATCAGGTTCAACTTCCAATTATTTGTACTGCTTGTTGAGATCCAAGTTTCATCTTTCTTATGTGATTCTGTGAAAAAAATGATTTTTGGCTCTGAATTATTGATAATGTGTAACTGAACCACTAATCTTCAGGCCAAATTTCAATCTCTTTAAGAAGTTTTACCTTTTTCTTAACCTTTTCAAATATATAAGGCTTTGGGATGTCAGATCTGAACACCTTGGAATTTTAGATGATAGCCAAATTAAACAAAACTGAGTTAAATAAAATAAATCATTCACAGAATTACGGAGGGCAGAAGGGACTTCTGGAGATAATCTGTTCAGCTCCTCTTCCTCAAGGAGGTTCTCCCTGAACAGGTTGCCCACAACCATGTCCAGTCAGACTTTGAGTATCTCCATGAATGGAGACTTCAAAACCCCTCTGGGTGGCGTGCTTCAGTGTTTCACTACCCTCAGTGAAAACTTTTTTAAATTGCAAAATTGCAGAATAAACCTGCAGAAAAGAGTTCAAGCTTGTCATGAATAAATTACCGGATTTTTCTTTCTACAGCTCCCTGGGCTAGTCTACTAATATTCATTGAGCTTAACTAATCAAATGTCTCCAGAAGATCTGGTCATGAATGTTATCCTTTGTCACAGCTGGGTATGCTCTTTGCAGTGGTCTGGGTGTTTTTAATGTGATAAATAGATCAGATGAACAGAGGAGTAGTAGAAGTAATTTCTGCACATATTTTTCTGTTCACTGAGGAATTAGTGAGTAGTATATTGGGAATGTCTTACATGAAATAGCTTTCTTTTTGAGATTTTAATGTCTTAAGATTATAGTTTAAATGGGTTCATAGGAGAGTAACAATAACACCAAAAATCGGCATTTCTGTATTAGGAAATAAGACTAAAATAAAAGCTGTGCGCACAAAGCCAGATATTCCTTTAAGTTGCTCTTTTTTGGAGATGCTGCTGGGAAGAGTTTCTGCAGACAGTGGGAGTGATGGAGGTGACAGGTATAGAAATTGCTCTACCATAATCAAACTGATAAGGAAAAAAGCACTTCTAGGATAAGGAACTTAGCTATATCTATGTAGGGGTGTAAATGAATGCAGAAATGCTTCTGCATGTTACTACTGCTTGTTACAGAAACACAGCATTGCTGAGGTTGGAGGCACTTCTGGAGATCGTGTAGTCAAACCTCCTGCTCAGAGCACGGTTGTCTAGACCAGATCGCTCAGGACTTTGTCCAGTTGGGTTTGGGATGTTTTTGTTAATAGCTTCATATATATTAACCTATTCATGGTCTAATCTAGCCAATTTACTTGTGTTTGTGTGCTGTTTTGAGGAGGAGATTGGGAAGAATGAGGGTAGCTTTGGGGATTAGATGGTGTCCTCTAACTTTGGATGCTATGGTAGAGTAATTTGTACAAAATTATGACTGCCAGCAGTGGTAGGTGTGTTACTAAACCGTCTCTTAACTGATGGGAAGTTTGTAATTAAGATTTTTGCTTTATATACTACTTAGTACATCTTGTATAGATACCATACAAGAACTCAGTACAGCATATGTTCTTTTATATCTTTGCTCGCAATAAATGAATTTGCCATTTGTGCTTTAGGTAATATTGTTTGTCTTTCTATATTGTTGTATCTCCAAGTTAATCCTTCAGACTAGCATTTTGTGAATTAGATATATTGGATACTTCCCTCTGGCTTGTTGACTGGTCTTTTGGACCTTGTCATTTCAGTTTCTAAAAAAAGAATGGTCAAAGAGTGTGGTAGAGTTTCTGAAAAGGTCTGTGCTAATGAAGGATATATTCTTAGTAAGTGGTATCTTTTTGCTATGTTAAATTTTTCTGCCTATTTGTGTTCTTATGCACTAAAAATGTTTTAAAGGGATATTCTAGTTGAGGATGGTATGCTTTAGGGTTTGAAGTTGTGAAGAGATGACTACTGCCAAACTCTGAAGTGTTTAGTAAGAAGTACTCAGACAGAATATACTGTTAGAAATGGGCTGTGGTTCAGTGATTAAGAGCTAATTGAAAATGCTTTATGTCCATCTCATCGTCTGAATTACCAGTGCTGAAAGAACCTGAAAACGTTGCATCTTTGGATGATACTTAGCTTATGACCAGTTACTTGTACCAGTTTGTACCATAGGAACAAAATGAGCCTTTAAACTCCCTGTAACTGAGAGGTTCTATTTAGTGAGTGAATAACAGCTGTAGAAATGTTCAGCTTCAAATTCTGATATTGAAGTATATTTGAAACATGCTAATCTTCAAGCACTGGTCCAGAATTTTGTCATTGTACTTTCTACATTCAATTAAAAAGTTGGAAAATGAGTATAGTGGATTTTTGGTGTCACTTGAATCCTGAAGCTCCTGCACTTCCTCTAGTCTCTGACAGATCATAACAAACTCCTGACTGTATTTTGCATAGCAATTTTTAAGTCTTTCATTAAACTGACTGTGGCCATTTCTGTGTTGAACTTGGGGCAGTCCATGGGAACAGAGGAAGCTAGTTAAAAAAACACTAACCTTAATGGAAAAATCAGATGTTGTGAGCCTTAAACTTTATCTGAGACTGTTCTTTAATGGAAGCAATTTTTGCTTAGTAGGTCTATACGTTTTAAACACTGTTAGTTATCCATTGCGTAGCACTGCAGTACTAATGATCACTCCTCTTCCTCTTTTTAATCAGGACAGAGCTTGGGTTATGGTTTTGTGAACTACGTTGACCCCAAGGATGCTGAAAAAGCTATCAACACACTGAATGGATTGAGACTTCAAACTAAAACCATAAAAGTATGTAGTGATAATTATGATTTAAAGAAATGGAAGTGTTTTGTTTTGACTTCTTGTTGATTGGATGCATGATTTGTTTTCCCTTTCCAAGTGTAACTTAAGCATTCTGCTAATGTCAATAGAACAGGACTTCACCCTGTAGCAGATGGTTAGTCCTTTGTAGTCTGTTTAGATTTAGAGAGTTAGATTATTATTAAGTATAGAAAATTTTTATTTTTTTATGCACTTGATAATGTTTTAGATGTGAGCTTGAATTGTTTTATCTTAGAAATTGTGTTGTATGCTTTAGTTGCAGGAAAAAAAATGCAATACTACATGTAGTCTGAACACTGCACTATGTACTTCCTCCTTACGTTCTCAAAGAAGGTGGTATCATTTGCTTATTAATACTCCCTTTTTTAGGTTACTTTTGTCTTGTTTTTCTTACAAATCCTTAATGAAATGCTGAAATTACTATTTTGGTTGTCTGAATTACTGGGCTCCTAGGGCTCTAATCCCTAGATCTCTAGTGTTTGACATTCCTGGTTTCTTGCTCATGTTGTAACTCCTGTACCTCTTGTTTACTAAGTTCAGTTTCTTCAATCTCTAGAAGCAGATGTCTTAAGTTACTTTTTCTCATCTACTGTCTTAATCCATTTTCAGAAGAGTGAGGATACTCATTTGAGCAATTGTTTGGACTCTGAAATCTTTAGAGGAGCTGAAATAAAATTTATCAGAGAATGCAAACTTTTGAACATGTTTCACAGGTATTGGTGCCTGAAGGCAACCCATGTTCCAAACAGCCCATTTGTCCTCATTAAACAGCAGGGTTTGCTAGCTGATTACTTGGATAGTGTCTGCTCTCTGACTAGGATCATGTTTGAGCCATAGGATAAAGCTCACCTCTAAAAAGGTTTGAACTTAAAAAGCAATGCAGAGCCACTTAGAGATCACTGAAACAAAAAAGATGGCAGTAATTATGCTTAGAATGCCCTACCTGTTCTGGTTTTGTAAGATTTAATGAAGGGCCTTACACTATTTGAAACTTAAATACTGCTGTTTAAAAGTGAATCACAGCTCACAGTAACAATGGATGAAAGGCATGGGCGGATGCTTTGCTGCAGAAAGTTCTCTGTGTGCTTCTGGCAGACTTCTTGCCCACAGGCAGTCTCTCCCATTTTCTGCTTTGGGGGAAAACTGAGGAAAGTCATTTCATTTCATGCTCCAGGTTTTTTTGAAGCCGTCTCTTGGGTGGTGGTGAGAAAGGGAATGGGTTAGCGTTCAAGTGCTATTAAAGTATGCTCTATCTTTGCATTTAACATCTTGGATTAGACAAATAAAAAAAATGTATCAGTCCAGGGTGATAAGTTGGAAGTTCTGGTGACTCTACAGCCAGGCAAAAAAGGATGTTATTACAGAGAAGGTCTCCCAAATCAAAATGATCCTTTAAGGGGGTTTCCCTTTACTTTATGCTGCCAGTATATAAATTCTTAATCCTCTTTCACCTTGCGAAGTGATTAATGCAAACAGTCACTGTATTTCTGCAACTTAAAATTGATTGTAAAAAAAAAGTCTGGGGAAAAAAAAGAAAATGGAGTAGACAGATGTGGGTGATGACACTGGTGCTTTTCCTTTCCTGCCTTCCCAGGACATGAAAGTACAACTGTAGGTTATTAACAATACTAGCCAGTGACCCCTGCAGGGAGATTAAAGCTTACGTGTAAATCTTCAGGGATTTGTGCCTTAGATGTCCTTATCTAAAGAAAATCTGAAACATTTGAGTTGTTACAAGCCAAAATGATGACCTCTTCACCAAAATAAAGAAAATATCTGTTCAGTTAGAAAAAAAGTAATGTAAATCTTGCTTGTTCGTGTTACAGGTAAAATTCTGACTCTAGCTACCCACATTCAGCACTGTCTAACTTCAGCAGCATCTTTCAGTGTTAGTGTCCATGAATTCAGGGGAAAAACTGCAGTCCTCTCTTCTCCTTTACTCTTACTCCTTCTTGGACACAAGCTGGGTTTCAGGTGAAGTTTTCATGACTGGATTCTCCTAAGATGCTGTTTCAAGAGGCTGGCTTTATTGCCTTCCACACTGCAGAAAGGGTAGAGGCTAGAGGTGTCCCTAATGTGTTTTAAGACTAAGGCATTTGTACATTGAACAGTTGCTTCTCCTGTTAAGAGAACCAAGATGTGTGGCGGTGACTTGAAAGGAGACTTATCAAGAGTGTCTGTCTCTATCTGTGAACCTACAGAAATACCCAGCCTACTATGAAGCCCTTTGTAATTTATGTATTCCTCAGATCAGCCTGGAGGCAAGACTGTGCAGAGAAAACTGATGTGTGAGGACTTTGCTGCCTCTGGGAGCGACATCTGGGGTGGAGGGGAGTCACTTATGAGATCTCAGTGTCAGAACCTTTGCAGAGTCTTCTTACAGTTTATAGACCACAGTGTTCCTATTTGTCCAGAGTTGATACTTCAATTGGGGAAAAAAAAAATCTGTTTGGCAAACTCAGAATCCAACCCTTAGATTAACTTTCAGGTTTAAAAAATGGATGTCATTGAGGTTTTTATATATAACTCCACATAAAAAATGGAGTGGGATAGTGTTACTGGATATTTTGACTTCTAAAGAAAAAACTTAGATGCTTCTTCTCTCTGTATATTTTGGGGACTTGTGTAGAAATGTTTAGTACATCATTATTAGATTGATTAAAAATGTTTGTTTCCTATTACTCTACAAAACTGGAAAGAATCCTGCTGGCTAGCTGATGAACCTTCACATTGTGGCTGAACTTGAGAGCATTCGCATTGAGAGGGCATTGTCCTCATCCTTATGTGTGATGTTCTAGGTTGAGGCCATGACAGGTACCTCTCATCCACTGCTGCTGTGCTAGCCTGTTAGTCATTGGATATATTCCTCTGATCCCTGAAAGGGGGTATCACCTACTATTTTCTTGAAATAAAATATATTGAAAAGGTGAATTTGCAAAATGCTGGCTAAAGCTTAAGCTTTTCTGTATGGGTAGTGATAGTAAAACTTGCTACTTGATACCTTTTTAAAGAGAAGAACCTCTTATGGAATGCTTTATGGAATATTTTATTGAACTATTTGTAAAGTATCTTAACCAAATTTCAGATCCATACCTGCAGAGCAAGTCATAGCAGCATTAGTCTAACCTGCTGCCAGTTGTGTTGCCTTCTGATTTGACTGGAATATGAAAACTAGAGTAGGTATGCATTGGTGTTGAAGGCATATCTAGGTGTGTTAGATAACCAACCCTGCTCTGCTAGGATACCTACAGATATTATGTGGTGCCCTCTATGGCATAATTTATGGTTTATTTGCAATGTAAACAGGCTTATTTGTGTTGTAGATAGCCTGTCAAGTTTGGGCTTCATTCAATTATGCAACTTTAGTGTGAAAACAAGTTATGTCTTAGAAGACATAAAACATTTTCTGTGGCTTCTCTTTTGGAAGAGGTTGCTGCTGGAAAGCATGCTGTCTCTTTTCTATTTAAGAGCCAGTGAAAATGTGGGTTTCTGTGCCTGGAGGGATTTTCCGTTTACTCACTTGCTTGTCTATGACTTTTTGTTTAGCTTGTCTTGGAAAGATCAGTTCTTCCCAAACATGGAAAACGCAGAGAACAGCATGTAAGAGTCACTGACTTGCACATAGTGATAAGAAAACTTAGTGCATGCTTTTGTTGACTTGGCTTCTGCTTGGGAGAGGGGAAATGCTCAGGTGCTTCCCCTCCCCTTGCTCCTGGGAAAACTCCTTCAAAAAAAGTGAATTTATTGTGAGATTTTCTGAATAGGAGTATCTTTCAGTGTGACGTAAAACACTTCTGTATTGAAAAGAAAGTGTAGTAAGATCCTCTGTCTAGAGAGGAGTGGGCAAACAAACGGCCTATCCTTGAACTGGCATAGAGCTGTGTAAGATGCTGAACAGGAGGCAGCTTTTTACCTTTATTAGGGGTAGCAGGAGGACACAGGAAAATATATTTGGGTTTTCTCTGTGGATGCTAGACTGCTTGAATGATGGACATGGTCTTTTGTGGTTCGTAGCTGCGGAGGGGACACTGCAGATGGCAGCCTCGCAGTGCTCATTCCTCTCTCGCAAGGGGAACTGGGGCTGAGGAGCCTAGTGCCATTGTGTCCCCAGCTCTCCCGCTGTGAGATGGTCTGAAGCGGCAGAGCCTCTGCATGCAGGAGCTGGCAGATGGTTTTCTTACCCATTAATGCTGATGATGCAAATGTATGCAAATATGCATTGGAAAGGAGAAAGAAAATAGCTTGTCCAGGCTAGAGGCCTAGAATTTGTCCTTCTTTATAAGATAGCATTGGTTATGTAGATGTATTTCACCTAACCTAGTGCTGCCTTAAAAATCAAGTTTAGTAAGGTTTCCTCCTTTTAAGTTCTTTGGAATATTAGGGTGTTTACATGGGTAATTATCACCTGTCAGGGGAATAGACATTTAAGAAATATTTTATCTAAAGTATTAAATCTGTAGGTTTTCTTCCCACTCCTTTATAGCTTTGCATATTTTGGAAAGAAAAATCAGGCTTAACATGTAACATTCTGCCAGCTTCCTGTTAGAATGAAGTTTGACAAAGTCTTTGTCTACAAACACAGATGTCCTACTTCGGCATCATCACCTAGTTAACTGTCCTATTGTGGAAAGCTGTGTAATGAGAAGAATTTGTTATGACTTTAGTAGAAGAGTGAATACTGAACTATCAACTTTACAACTGCCCAAAGAAGTGCACTACAGCAAGGGAAGACTTGAAATCAGGGATGTGCCACAACCTCATTAGTGCTCTCTGAGGCAAAATGTCCTTAAAACTTGGCATTATGCAATGTAATTTCACTTGGTGCCTTGAACTATTACTTAGATTTACAGTAAGATTCATTTTAAAGGAATTATCCTCTAACTTAACTGCTCAAGATCTCCACCCTTATAAACTTCTGCCTATGACAGTACTCTTGAAAATGCTATGTACACTTAGTGGAAATGAAA